CCTGTACATGCACTGACTGAAGGGGATGGGACACCTCCACCTGTACATGCACTGACTGAATGGGATGGGACACCTCCACCTGTATATGCACTGACTGAAGGGGATGGGACACCTCCACCTGTATATGCACTGACTGAATGGGATGGGACATCTCCACCTGTACCTGTACATGCACTGACTGAAGGGATGGGACACCTCTACCTGTATATGCACTGACTGAATGGGATGGGACATCTCCACCTGTACATGCACTGACTGAAGGGGATGGGACACCTCCACCTGTATATGCACTGACTGAATGGGATGGGACATCTCCACCTGTACATGCACTGACTGAATGGGATGGGACACCTCCACCTGTACATGCACTGACTGAATGGGATGGGACACCTCCACCTGTATATGCACTGACTGAAGGGGATGGGACACCTCCACCTGTATATGCACTGACTGAATGGGGATCCACCTGGACATCTCTGAAGGGGATGGGACACCTGTACATGCACTGACTGAATGGGATGGGACACCTCCACCTGTACATGCACTGACTGAATGGGATGGGACACCTCCACCTGTACATGCACTGACTGAATGGGATGGGACACCTCCACCTGTATATGCACTGACTGAATGGGATGGGACACCTCCACCTGTACATGCACTGACTGAATGGGATGGGACACCTCCACCTGTATATGCACTGATTGTAGGGAATGGGACACCTCTACCTGTATATGCACTGATTGTAGGGGATGGGACACCTCCACCTGTACATGCACTGATTGTAGGGGATGGGACACCTCCACCTGTATATGCACTGACTGAATGGGATGGGACACCTCCACCTGTATATGCACTGACTGAATGGGATGGGACACCTCCACCTGTATATGCACTGATTGAATGGGATGGGACACCTCCACCTGTACATGCACTGACTGAAGGGATGGGACACCTCTACCTGTACATGCACTGACTGAATGGGATGGGACACCTCCACCTGTACATGCACTGACTGAAGGGATGGGACACCTGTATATGCACTGACTGAAGGGTACACCTCTACCTGTACATGCACTGACTGAATGGGATGGGACACCTCCACCTGTATATGCACTGACTGAAGGGGATGGGACACCTCCACCTGTACATGCACTGACTGAATGGGATGGGACACCTCCACCTGTACATGCACTGACTGAAGGGGATGGGACACCTCCACCTGTACATGCACTGACTGAATGGGATGGGACACCTCCACCTGTATATGCACTGACTGAAGGGGATGGGACACCTCCACCTGTATATGCACTGACTGAAGGGGATGGGACACCTCCACCTGTATATGCACTGACTGAATGGGATGGGACACCTCTACCTGTACATGCACTGACTGAATGGGATGGGACATCTCCACCTGTATATGCACTGACTGAATGGGATGGGACACCTCCACCTGTACATGCACTGACTGAAGGGGATGGGACACCTCCACCTGTATATGCACTGACTGAATGGGATGGGACACCTCCTACCTGTACATGCACTGACTGAATGGGATGGGACACCTCCACCTGTATATGCACTGATTGTAGGGGATGGGACACCTCCACCTGTATATGCACTGATTGTAGGGGATGGGACACCTCCACCTGTACATGCACTGATTGTAGGGGATGGGACATCTCCACCTGTACATGCACTGATTGTAGGGGAAGGGACACCTCTACCTGTACATGCACTGACTGAATGGGATGGGACATCTCTACCTGTACATGCACTGACTGAATGGGATGGGACATCTCTACCTGTATATGCACTGATTGTAGGGGATGGGACACCTCTACCTGTATATGCACTGATTGTAGGGGATGGGACACCTCTACCTGTACATGCACTGACTGAATGGGATGGGATACCTCCACCTGTATATGCACTGATTGTAGGGAATGGGACACCTCTACCTGTACATGCACTGACTGAATGGGGATGTGACACCTCTACCTGTACATGCACTGACTGAATGGGATGGGACACCTCCACATGTACATGCACTGACTGAAGGGGATGGGACACCTCCACCTGTACATGCACTGACTGAAGGGGATGGGACACCTCCACCTGTACATGCACTGACTGAAGGGGATGGGACACCTCCACCTGTACATGCACTGACTGAAGGGGATGGGACACCTCTACCTGTATATTCACTGATTGTAGGGGATGGGACTCCTCTACCTGTATATGCACTGACTGAATGGGATGGGACACCTCCACCTGTACATGCACTGACTGAAGGGGATGGGACACCTCCACCTGTACATGCACTGACTTAATGGGATGGGACACCTCTACCTGTACATGCACTGATTGTAGGGGATGGGACACCTCCACCTGTACATGCACTGATTGTAGGGGATGGGACACCTCCACCTGTACATGCACTGACTGAATGGGATGGGACATCACCACCTGTACATGCACTGACTGAATGGGATGGGACACCTCTACCTGTATATGCACTGATTGTAGGGGATGGGACACCTCCACCTGTATATGCACTGACTGAAGGGGATGGGACACCTCTACCTGTACATGCACTGACTGAATGGGATGGGACACCTCCACCTGTATATGCACTGACTGAAGGGGATGGGACACCTCTACCTGTACATGCACTGACTGAATGGGATGGGACACTCCACCTGTACATGCACTGACTGAAGGGGATGGGACACTCCACCACCTGTATGGGATGACACTCCACCTGTACATGACTGAAGAGGGGATGGGACACCTCTACCTGTATATTCACTGATTGTAGAGGATGGGACACCTCTACCTGTACATGCACTGACTGAATGGGATGGGACACCTCCACCTGTACATGCACTGACTGAAGGGGATGGGACACCTCCTACCTGTACATGCACTGACTTAATGGGATGGGACACCTCCACCTGTACATGCACTGATTGTAGGGGATGGGACACCTCCACCTGTACATGCACTGATTGAAGGGGATGGGACACCTCCACCCTGTACATGCACTGACTGAATGGGATGGGACATCCTCCACCTGTACATGCACTGACTGAATGGGATGGGACACCTCTACCTGTATATGCACTGATTGAAGGGGATGGGACACCTCTATGCACTACCTCTATATGTACATGCACTGACTGAAGGGGATGGGACACCTCCACCTGTACATGCACTGACTGAAGGGGATGGGACACCTCCACCTGTACATGCACTGACTGAACCTGGATGGGATGGGACACCTCCACCTGTACATGCACTGACTGAATGGGATGGGACACCTCCACCTGTACATGCACTGCACTGACTGAATGGGATGGGACACCTCTACCTGTACATGCACTGACTGAATGAATGGGATGGGACACCTCCACCTGTATATGCACTGACTGAATGGGATGGGACACCTCCACCTGTATATGCACTGACTGAAGGGATGGGACACCACTGTATATGACTGATTGGGATGGGACACCTCCACCTGTACATGCACTGCCTGCAATGAATGGGATGGGACACCTCTACCTGTATATGCACTGACTGAAGGGGATGGACACCTCCACCTGTATATGCACTGACTGAATGGGATGGGGACATGCACTGCCTGGGACACTCTACCTGTACATGCACTGACTGAATGGGATGGGACACCTCTACCTGTACATGCACTGACTGAAGGGGGATGGGACATCTCCCACCTGTATGCACTGACTGAATAGATGGGATGGGACACCTCCACCTGTATATGCACTGACTGAATGGGATGGGACACCTCTACCTGTATATGCACTGACTGAAGGGGATGGGACACCTCTACCTGTACATGCACTGACTGAAGGGGATGGGACACCTCTACCTGTATATGCACTGACTGAATGTGATGGGACACCTCTACCTGTACATGCACTGACTGGAAGGGATGGGACACCTCCACCTGTATGCACTGACTGAATGGGATGGGACCTCTTGTATGCACTGACTGGAAGGGATGGGACACCTCCACCTGTACATGCACTGACTGAATGGGATGGGACACCTCCACCTGTACATGCACTGACTGAATGGGATGGGACACCTCCACCTGTACATGCACTGACTGAATGGGATGGGACACCTCCACCTGTACATGCACTGACTGAAGGGGATGGGACACCTCTACCTGTATATGCACTGACTGAATGGGATGGGACACCTCTACCTGTATATGCACTGACTGAATGGGATGGGACACCCCCACCTGTACATGCACTGACTGAAGGGAGTGGGACGGGACACCTCCACCTGGACTGAAGAACAGTTCATGGAATGTCCGAAACACTGCGACCGCGGACACCAGATGAGCATGTTCTCGGATGAGGTTATAGAACAGTTGCGTTTTGGGACGTTCAGTTATCCTATGGATGTTTTGTTTTGTTCTCGGACAATGTGTTGTAAATGCGCGAACACAACGCCTTGCGGAAACGCTACTGCACGAGAATTCCATGAATGAATGTTTGTTATATAAACGTATTTCGTGATACTTCGGACAGAGTGTGTTAAAGGGGTGTTAGGAGATTGGTGTTGGTGTTAGAGAATTAGTGATTAGAATTAGAATCTTAGATGGTTGCGTCGAACGGACATCTGTGTGTTAGATGTTTGATATTTTGACGTGTTTGAGATGATTTGGTCATAATCGGACCTCAGCAAGGTATTGGAGCTTTCGTTCAGTATCTTGCATTCGTTAGTGAATATATAAATTTACAATTGTGGGAAAATAAAATTTGGGTTAACTAATTAGAATTTTTGTTTTCATTCCACTGCAAAACAAAATGGTAGCAGAGCGTGGTTATGTTATGTTAGGTTAGGTTAGTTGCAGGTGAGTTTAGTTGCGTGTCAAGATTAGATACAGGTTAGATTAGTGGAAGGTTAGTTTAAATGCAGGTTAGGTTAGTTGCAAGTCAGATTAGTTTGTCATCATGTCGGAGACATCGATGAAGCAAATAGCTTCAAACGTTGAGGTAAAGGTTCCTAAAACAGACGTTGGTGACAAAATTATCAAATTAAAGAAACAAAAAGCAGCAGCTAAAACTGCATTTACAAAATGTAAGAACAAGTTGTATAACTTGATAGAACAAGTTGATGTTCCTTCCCGTCGGGAGGTTAGAGATGAAATTGACAAGGTAAGTTCACTTCACCTTAAGGCAGTGAATATCATGGTTGATTTGATCCAGGCATATTCAGATAGCGGGGACACTGAAAACAAAAGTCAGGTCTACAAAGAACTTGCGTCTGTAGAAGGGATTAATGAAGATGTTGTTAAAATGGCACAAGCATACTTAAATGACAGATCAGATGCTACTTCTGTAAGCAGCATAAGAACCGGTTTATCAATGCTATTCCATTCTCAAGATCAGACAAAGCAAAAAGTACAATCTGATAAGAATACAAAATGCAAACAGAACAGTGACAATGAACAAGCCATAAATAAGAACGTGGTCACAGGAAAACATGAGAAGAACGTCGAATGTTTAGATGACAAGTTGAATGTGGTTGAAAGTTCTGGAGCACATTATGATGTTCGCAGAAGAACGAACCCTGTCACAACACAAAATGAGCTTGGTGTAGATATGTGGAAACAACTCAAAAGAGTGTCGATACCCACATTTAATGGTGACATTAAAATGTATGAGAATTGGAAAGCAGCATTTGTAGCTTGTGTGGACATGGCGCCAGCCATCCCCGAATACAAACTATTACAGTTAAGACAATGTCTTACCGGAGAAGCATTGAAAGTGATAGCGAGTTTAGGTCATAGTGCGGCTGCATATGACATCGCATTAGAACGTCTTGAACGCAAATATGGTGGCAAAAGACGTAACATTGCTTTGAAGTTAGAAGAGATTACAAAGTTCAAACCAATTAGGGCAGGTAATGCCAGGGACTTAGAGAAGTTTGCAGACTTGCTTGATATTTTAGTGGCAAACCTTAGAGAATCAGACAAGTTAGAAGAGTTGGGTGATGGGACCTTATACTCACAATTATTAAAGAAATTAACAGAATCCATGGTAATACAATATCAGAGGTGGATATTTGAGACCCAGAGACAGGAATCTGTTGAAGTCCTCAGGGAATGGATTCTGCAAGAGTCAGAGTTTCAGGTCATTGCCAGTGAAGTCATAAATGGGTTTGCTGAAAAGCAGAGGTCACATGAACGTAAAACATCGGGTAAAAGTGGGACTTTCTTTGGCAATAAAGAGAATAAAAAGTCAAACGGGTCCATGTCAAATGTGTCCAGGGGCAAGTCATGAGATGTGGAAGTGCACAAAGTTCAAAGCATTGAGCGTTAGTCGGAGGTGGGAGGTTGCAAAGAGGTTGAATCTTTGCTTCCGTTGTCTAGGCTCCAACCACTGTGGTAGGAGTTGCAATAGGTTTAGTGAATGTGGGATAGGTGGTTGTTTTGCAAATCACAATCGCTTACTTCACACTGATAGGAAAGTAAGGGATTGGACAGATGGTGCAAAAAGTAAGTCGCCCCTAAATCCAGTAGATGAAACACAAACAACCACAATGCCTACTTCTAGGTGTGACATGTCATACACAGCATTGAGAACTGTCCCAGTAGTTATCACAAATGGACATCGCAGGATTACAGTCAATGCTCTCTAGATGATGCAAGTACGCAGACATACATAAATGAAGATATAGCTGCAGAACTTGGGTTACAAGGACATTATCAGAAAGTGTCAGTGAATGTTCTAAATGGCAGAAAGGAGAGTTTTGAATCAATGTCTGTTAATTTTGGGTTAGAAAGCATTGATGGTTCAGTTGATGTATCAATGTCAGCTCTTACAACAACAAAAGTTACAGGCAAAATGCAAGTAGTAGACTGGGAGAAACATGGACATAAATGGAAACATTTGAATCACATCAAATTTCCAAAACTTAGTTCTCGTACTGTGATTGATGTCCTCATAGGCATTGACTACATTGACCTTCATCGGTCATATGAAGAGGTAGGTGGTGATCAGGGAGAACCTGTTGCAAGACTTACACCTCTTGGGTGGACATGCATAGGACGTGTTCATGGTGAAAATGAAACACATTTTGCAAGTACTTTCTCATTGATAACAATAGAACAGAATTGCAGAATCTAAACGCTTTAGTGCACAAGTTCTGGGAAGTAGAGGGATTTTCATGTAGCACAATAAATGACTACAATGATGATGAATTGTCTGCAGTTGAAAAAGTTAAACAGACACTTCAGTACAACAATGGTCACTACCAAGTAGGTATACCTTGGAGATATGACACACAGATGTTACCAGATAACTATAAGATGGCTGTCGAAGGACAAAGAGATGGCTGAAGCTTATTGCTCAGTTCTAGATCAATATGTGCAAAAGGGATACATTCGTAAGGTATCGTCATTGGAAAATGAGAGTAAATGGTTTCTTCCTCATTTTCCAGTAGTACGTCCAGACAGAACGACAACCAAAGTACGCATTGTATTCGATGCTTCTGCAAAGTGTCAGGGTGTTTCACTCAATGACATAATACATCCAGGACCGAAGTTGCAGAATGATCTTTTTTGAAATCTTGCTGCGATTTAGGAAGCAGCCCATAGCACTTGTTTGTGACATCTCGGAGATGTACCTGCAAATTGAGGTGAAACATGAAGATCGTAAATACCTCAGGTTTCTGTGGCGATCCATGAATTCAAATGAAGAACCACAGGTGTACGAAATTAACAAGATGTTGTTCGGTTTGAATTGTTCACCATTCTTAGCACAATACATTTCACAAGAACATGCAAAAGCACATCAAAGTGAATTTCCACTTGCTGTTGAGACTGTAGTAAGCTTCACCTATATGGACGATAGTATGGATTCGGTAGAGGATGACATGACTGGGATAGAGCTGTACAATCAGCTGAGTGAGCTATGGCGCACAGCAGGTATGAACGCCAGAAAATGGCTTTCAAATTCGTTGGATGTCCTTGATGGAATTCCGTTAGAATCTAGGGCACAGAAGGTAAACATAAACAAAAATGAATTGCCTTCAGTGAAAACACTAGGTCTCATGTGGATTGCAAATGATGATGAGTTCGGTTTCTGTATGAATGTTCCTGAAGACATTGTGAGAATGACCAAACGAATGTTTCTCAGTGAAATTGCAAGGATCTTTGATCCGCTTGGACTCTTGACACCTTTCACCATTGTGGGGAAAATGATGATTCAAGAGATGTGGATATCAGGTTTCGGATGGGATGAAGAGCTTGATCCAGATCTGAATCTTAGAACTTTGAAATGGGTAAATGAGGTTAAAGAGTTATGCAATATCAGAGTACCACGGTGCTTGAGAATCAAATCTGAAATAGGAAACAAAACATTTCATGTATTTGCAGATGCATCACAAGAGTTGCATAGGGGCAGCAATATATGCAGTCTATACTTACCAGAGTGGGGAAGTGGTCAGTCGTTTAGTTACCTCCAAAAGCAGGGTTGCTCCTCTTCAATCTGTAAGCATTCCAAGAATGGAACTGATGGCGGCAGGCCTTGGGGTGAAATTGTTTGTTGCTTCAGCAAAGGTGTTAGAAATGTCCACTGTCAACACATATTTTTGGTGTGACAGTATGAATGTGTTATGTTGGATAAAAAGCCAGAGTAGAAATTACAAGTCTTTTGTGGCAAATCGCATTGGTTACATCCAGGAACACACTAGTCCATATCAGTGGAAATATGTTCCATCTCGGTTAAATCCTGCAGACTCACTTACCAGGGGTACATCAGTGAAGAACCTAGCCAGTAGTACATGGCTGACAGGACCAGCATTTCTGAAACTCGCAGAAAGTGAATGGCCAGAACAAATAGTTGGATTTCAAAGTGATAGTACTTTAGAAATAAAGAAACTGTCCAGAAAAAGGGAAGTTGTTACACTTATGTCTGAAGGTGAGGATGATACATGGCGTCTTCATCCATCCAGATATTCTGACTGGAAGAGGTTGACTAGAATATATGCTTGGGTATGCAGATTTGTTACCAATGCACGTATTGCACCAAAATTACGACACATGGGTAATTTGGAGGTTGACGAAATCGAAGATGCTGAAATGAGAATCATCAGTCAGACACAACAACAGGAATTTGCAAAAGAGTTTTCTGCACTACAAAAAGGAAAACAGCTTCCAAAAGACAGCAAACTCATTGGACTTCAGCCAATAATCGATGAAGAGGGACTAATTAGATGCAGTGGCAGACTGAAATATGCTGACTGCTTGTCTTGGGGAGCACGAGTTCCAATAATCTTGCCTCGTAAGAACTGGGTCACAAGGCTTCTTGTGAAACATTACCACGAAGCTGGTAAACATGCAGTAGGTACTAATCAAACTTTAGCTGCTCTATCCTCAAAATACTGGGTCATTGCTGCTCGTGAAGAGATTCGAGCATGGGAGACAGAATGTGCCTTTTGTCGGAGACAAAAAGCTCAACCGAGACCTCAGATTATGGCTCCACTTCCAAAGCTGAGAGTTAGCTATTCGCTGAGAGCATTTACTCATGTTGGAGTGGACTATGCAGGGCCTTTTCTGACTATCCAAGGGAGGTCAAAGAAGAGACAAAAACGATATTTGTGTCTTTTCACGTGTTTGTCAACTAGGGCTGTACATCTGGAAATGTCATATGGTCTCGATAGTGACTCGTTTTTGAATGCTTTCTTTCGCATGACAAATAGACGAGGAATGCCAAAAGAAGTCGTATCCGATAACGGAACTAACTTTGTAGGTGCTGTGAAGGAATTGAGAGATCTGGTTGAACAACTTGATGCGACTACGAGATCATCCTTGGCAAATAAGGGAGTCGTCTGGAGATTCAACCCTCCTCATGCACCACATTTTGGTGGTGTATTTGAATGCATGATTAAGTCAGCTAAAAGAGCTATCTTTGCCATTCTGGGTAAAGGCGATGTCACGGATGAAGAGCTAACAACAGCATTTACTGCCGCAGAAGCACTCATAAATTCTCGTCCCCTCACTTATCAAAGTGCTAACTGCCAAGATGATGTACCGTTAACCCCAAATCATCTTATGCACGGGCAAGTCGGTGGAACATTTGCTCCAGATAGTGTTGATACTACGTCATACAACCCCAGAAAACGATGGAGACGAATACAGGAACTGGTGAGGCACTTCTGGAGGAGGTGGTTGAGGGAACTACTACCAACTCTTCAAGTCAGGAAGAAGTGGAGAGAGGCTAACCGCAATCTGAAGGTAAATGATGTCGTCATCGTAGTTTCACCAGATTCTCCACGTGGAAGCTGGCCTTTGGGGAGAATCATCAACACATATCCAGGCAAGGATGGACATGTTCGAGTGGTACAAGTAAAGATGGGGAAAACTACGCTGATGAGACCTGTGACGAAGGTGTGTCCACTCGAGTGGAATTCAGAGGATGACTTGAGAGAACATTAAGCAGATCAGTCATGTGGAGGTTCAGGCGAGATATGTTCATGCAAGCAGTGGGAGCAGGATCGTCGCCGTCTGGAGGATGGATCGTTCGTCATCTGGAGGATGGATCGTTCGTCTGGAGCATGGATCGTCGGCATCAGGAGGATTGAATTCGAAGGATCGTTGTGTACAGGATTGACTTTAGAAGAATCGAATTAGATACCAAATGACTATTTTAGAGGGTCAAGAAACAGGATGTGTTGTTTATTGAAATGTGCATTTTTCATTTTGTGATTCGTGATTCATGATTCATCAGCAGAACATATGATAGACAGGAGTCTATCATGGAGGGGGAAATGGACTGAAGAACAGTTCATGGAATGTCCGAAACACTGCGACCGCGGACACCAGATGAGCATGTTCTCGGATGAGGTTATAGAACAGTTGCGTTTTGGGACGTTCAGTTATCCTATGGATGTTTTGTTTTGTTCTCGGACAATGTGTTGTAAATGCGCGAACACAACGCCTCGCGGAAACGCTACTGCACGAGAATTCCATGAATGAATGTTTGTTATATAAACGTATTTCGTGATACTTCGGACAGTGTGTGTTAAAGGGGTGTTAGGAGATTGGTGTTGGAGAATTAGTGATTAGAATTAGAATCTTAGATGGTTGCGTCGAACGGACATCTGTGTGTTAGATGTTTGATATTTTGACGTGTTTGAGATGATTTGGTCATAATCGGACCTCAGCAAGGTATTGGAGCTTTCGTTCAGTATCTTGCATTCGTTAGTGAATATATAAATTTACAATTGTGGGAAAATAAAATTTGGGTTAACTAATTAGAATTTTTGTTTTCATTCCACT